CCTCACCCTGTCCCCCAAGCCCACCCTCCCACCCGTCACCCCTTCCTCCCATTGCCGCGTGTCTATCCAGCTGAAGCTCTGGCAGATACGCCCCGCCCCAGATACGCGCCACTACACCTGCATCTGCTGCACCTACCTCCCCCTGCCCCTCACACTCCCTGTCCTCCTCGTCAAGAGACATGCACTGAGGAGCAGCCAGGCACGTTCCCTGACTGTTGGGGCTGGCTGTTGCGAGGTGGGTGGGAGTGCAGTGCGGGAGTGAGGAGCTGTGGGGAAGTGGGTGGTGAGGAGTGGCGCAGGAGAAGTGTGGGTGGAAGGAGGACGGGGAACAGGCCGTGGCAGCAGCAGCAAGACCAGCGTGTAGTGGTGCATGTGCTGTGTGTGGTGCGTGTGATGGCACGAAGTGGGAGGCGGTTGGGAATTGGGCGTGGTTGTAGGTGGTTGCAGGGATGGAGGCTGAGTGGTAGGGATGTGATGCTGATGATGACAGGGAGAACCACCTGCAAAAGAGGGAGGAGGGGTATGCACACACACACACACACACACACACACACACACACATAAAGACACACACACACACACACACACACCACACAATGCAGAGGTACAGAGAATAGCGAGGTAAGAGGAGAATAGTGGTAGAGTTTACGAGTGCACGAGTGGTGGAGCAAGAAAACAAAAGCATAGAGTGTGCGAGAGAGGGGGAAATGTGGATGGAGAAAACACAAATTGACAGGCAGGATAAGTGCTACTGATGAAAAGGTGCAAGAGGTTTTTTAACCACTTACATGGGAAAGAGAGGCGCAAGGCAGAGCACAAGCAGTGCAGCTCCAGCCAGCAACCCGCGCACCACATTGAGTACCGGGCCTTGAGACACAGGCACGGAGGAGAGGGCTGAGAGCAGCCCGAGCTCCAGTACCAACCCAGCAAGCACAACTGCAGCACAACATAATCGCAGTTAGCGGGTCGGGACGAGGGTTGAGGAGCTAAGGGGTTGGACCAGGGTTATGTGCAGGTGCTTTCTCAGGATGATGCAAGGGGGAACAAGAAGGTGGTGTTGGATAACGGTGGAGTGATGAGAAACAATCAGGAACAACGGAGGAACATGGTGACAAGTAGAGAGACGAGAAGAGAGAGAAGATGGAGGCAGCGAGAAGATACAGGCAGAGAAAAAGCTGAAGAGTGGGGCATGGGGATGAAAGAAGAGGAGAGAAAGATGATAGAGGAAGGCAAGAGGGTGGGAACTGACGTGCGAGGAGGGGCCGTCGGGCACGGCTGGTGAGGCTGGAGCAGGTGAGCAGCAGTGAGAAGGGTAGGAGCAGGAGATAGAGGAGGAAGGTGGATATGGTGGAGGCGTAGCTCCTGATGGCAGTCACAAGTGAGACGAACTGCTCCACTGCTCGCACCATGCTGCCCTGCTTCCGTGACAGGTCGTTCTGCAATGCATAGAAGGCCGCACACACACACATGCACACTCACTCACGCGCACACGCGCGCACACACGCACATATGCAGATAGACACGCATACACAACACACATGCAAGCAGAGGTGAGGAAACGCTAAACAGAGAGCCATTGCGTGAAAGCTTGACACATAACACTCACACCATAAGCGCCTGCTGCAACCACACACTCTCTCCAAACCATCCGATCCACAACCACCCACCCTTCCACATCCCCTCATGCACAACCACACAGCACCACCCCACCACACCCTTCTCCCTTCCCCCTCCCACCAATTCACCTGCACGGCCAGCATTCTCTCAGCATTCCCCAGCAGCTGCTCCTGCGTGGCCTCCATGCGCTCGTTCCACATCGCCAGCACCTTGTGCTGCCGCTGCGCCTCCACAGCCACAGCACTCAGCTGCCCTGCCACCTGCTGCTGCACCACCAGCAGCACCTGCTGCTCCTCCGACATGCGTGCCTGCCACCGCTGCGAGCTCATATGATACGCCACCGTGCGTGCCGCCAGCTCACCCATCAACTCGTTCTGCCGCTCAGCCACCTCCGTTTGCTCCACCGCGATCCGTTTCATCTCGCCCGCTCCTTGCCTCTGCCCTGCCAGCAGCTCCTCCTGCAGCTGCGCCATCTCCGCCTGCCATTTCCCCGTGCTGTGCTGCTCCGCACTCGCCATTTCCGACAGCTCCTGCAGCACGCGCCTGTGCTGGTCTAGGGCCGCCGCCTGCTGCTGCCGAATCACCTCCATCTGCTGCGCCGCTGCTGCTTGCTCCGCTGCAGCAGCCTGCTGCTGCTGCAGCGACTGCTGCAGAGCAGCATCGACAGCCAGCACCTGATCCTCCAGGTGACTCACCCCTTGAGTGATTTCAGCCGCCATGGCCGCTTGTTGCCCTGTGAGGCTCTCTAAAACTGCCTGTGCGTGGTGAGCGGATTCGGACAGGGCTGCGACTTGCTGCTGCACTGCGCCTTGCTCCTCTGCTATGCGCTGCTGCAGGTGCAACGAGGCCTGCGCTGTTGCCTGCATGTCCTCTGCGCTCCCTGAGAGATCCCCCAGCTGCTCCTCCAACCAGTGCGCCGTGCGCTGAGGGAAACGAGCCGGGAGCGGCGGTGCGAAGGAGGAATAGTTAAAGACGGAAGGGAGGGAGAATGATAAATTCAGAGGGACTTCGAAAGGATGGAAGAGAAGGCAAGAGAAAGGTTACACAAGGAAGAGACGGGGAAGGGAACGGGACGGGGAACGGAGGGGGAAGGCTAAGGGAAATGAAGAGGAATGTTAGAGGAGATTCATGTGAGGTACATGGCAGTAGGGCTAGATGTTGACCTTGAGGGAGTTAACGGACGTCTCGACTTCGTTCTTAAACAGCTCGCTCCTGCAACAGCCAACGCCATAAACAGACACAGACACACACACGCGTCGAGGCACGATCGTCAGGAATCGGGAACGAAGGCCTTTTGAAACATCGCACAAACGTATTGACGGTGATAACAACCAGCGCGTGCATCATGTTTCAGTTACGACGGCGTCGCTTTCGGGCGTGGGAACTCACTGTAGGAAGTGGCACATGTTGGGTGCGTCGATGAAAAACGCCAGAAACACTGAGTGCTCGTGATCGCTCATGCTCTTTATGCACTCTTCCTCGTCCACCCCCTGCTCCTGCTTCTCACTCCCTTCCGCTCGTCCCTGCATGTACATTTGCAAGCCGCTGCCTCTCTTCTTGCTGCTGCTGCTGGAACGACAGTCAACGGGCGCGCGGCCGGACGAGGCGAGAAAGCAGTTGGTGAGTCTAAGCGCCAGCTGCGCCTTCCATGCTTCGTTACGGAGTACCTCTTTACACGAACCCATCAGCTGCTGATACGCCGTCACCCAGCAGTTGTCCCCCTCCGCCTTGCCCGGCTCGTACGCCTCGACACTGCCGTCCGCGCGCCCTGCGCGCTCCTGCAGCTCGCGGCCTTTCCGCTCGCCGCCTCTCGCCGTGATGCTCAGACTCTCCGCATCGAACGGTGCGACTGCGTTTCGTTCCTCTCTCCCTCGCCGTGCTGCTGCTTGCTGCTCCAGGAACGCATCTGCTCGTTCGCCGCTATTCTGTCGTGTGCCGTCGTTTGCAGGTGATGGCGGTTCGGCTGAATGCGTTGAAGGTGCTGGTGGGGATGTCGAGCGAAGAGTCGACGAGAACCAGGAAAACGAGTGTGTGTGCTTACTCGACAGCAAGAGCAAGACGAGGAGCAGTGTGCATGAAGGTAGTGGAGCTGTTCTTACGCTCGACATTTCGACGCCACCAGGAATTAACGGCGTGAAATGTTATGACTAATGTGTATCTGAGAATCCTCCTAAAGCTGGTCTTGAGACGAGACCTTGGGCTTGTCGGAGGTGCAGGCAACTTGTCGCAGCTAGTCGCTCAGCTGCCGTGATCGTCGCTTCTGCATACAAGTGCTGCCTCCTTGCCGAAAAGTTCGAGGGTCCATCCTGCTTCGTCCGAAATTATCGGGAGAACAAACCATCTTGGGAATGTCATACGCGATGCAACATTCTCTTGGGAATTTAATCACGATCATGCTAAGGCCGCCATGGATTCTGACGAGCGCTTCGACGCTGACAATGTCAATGCTAACGATCCCTGATCTCGAAATAGACTACACCATTAGATGCAGCTTGAGTTCTTCTATAAGCAGACTAACAAATTGTACCCATTATGCGGGTATCTTTCATGCTTATCGAGTCCCAGGCAAATGGTCTATGTCAGCCCTGGGATGTGTCAGTTCGTCGATTATTAGCTCGCCACGTCGGTCAGATGGGTTCGTGGATGCTTAGTGTTACGCTCATCTCAATGTAGCTGCTGTCGTCTTTCACAACTTTGTGGTCCCGTAGTCTTAGCCTAACGGAATCTTACATCACAGCGTGTCCAGGATGGTTTCAAGGGATAACTTTCCCCAGCTACCTACAACGGCAAGCTGTGCCTTGGGAGTGGAAAGCGCGGAAGAAGCTGGCGAGCTATAAACTTGAGAGGGAGAACAGGTTCATCATCAGCTGTCTACCAGGCCCTCAGATTCGTTCTTGGGCTGTCTGATTCGTCAGACATAGTACACAATTTTAGTCTGATCAATCAGGCTTGGTACAAAAAAAAAACTGAAACTTCAGAGTTCAATCGTATAAAAGTCTGCTAAACCAAAGTTCACATCAGTAGTGAAGCTGATTGATCAGCCTAAAACGGGGTGATAACCTCGCCGCAGCGCTGCTCTCACTGTTTCAGCGTGACTGACACGACAAATTTGTACTTCCAGCGCTAATCGCGGCTGTCAGGTCTGTCCCGCTAAAACGCTCTTGGGATCAGAGTACACTATGAGAAAAGGTCTAAAATATCAGACAAGGCCTAGATTTTTTTTTTTCTGAATGTTCAGAGTTCACAGCAAAAAAAACGCCGAACTTTCAGAGTTCACTAAAAAAAAAAGGCTGAAATATCAGAGTTTTTTAGGCAAATCAGAGAAATTTCTCTGACTTCTGGGGGCCTGCTGTCTACCCACTTCTCTCCTTCTGAAGCTCATCATGCCTCCTAAGTCCAGGATCGCGAAGGCTGCTGCCTCCATGGTGACTTCTGAGGATCCGAAGGACCCCGCGCTGGATCAGGAAGGCGGCGCGGAAGCACCGTCGGATGCTCCCGTCTCTACTTCGACTGGTGATATCCAGGAGGCTCCAGCGGCTGCAGCGGCTCCTGTCGTGTCCGTCCCAGCTCCTGTTGCGCCTGAGTCTTCGACGTCTGCTGAGCGGCGTTTTCCTGTCGGGGGGTACGATGAAGATGAGGATGATGATGATGGCTACTTAAGTGATGACTCCGACGAAGGCATTGATGTGCACGCGAAGGGTGTACTCGCATCCAAGACCCGCGTCACGCTGACGCTCCTGATTCCTTTTGAGCTGGCAAAGGAGATGCGTGTTGTGAAGCCGTCGGTGCATGCTCTCCTGGTCTACCTGCAGAAGAAGTTATCGAAAAACGCATTGGAGGGACTTGCGTTTCAGGAACTCCTTCCGACGTACCTGTCAAGGATCCATTTCAGCCGTCTGCAGGTTACCCTCGCGACGGCTGCAGACGCGGAGGTGGTGCGTCAGCATCGGGTGGAGCATGTGGTCGGAACCACCAAGCATTACTTCGGCTGGCAGCACCTGGCCAACCAGTCGTTCCTGGAGGCAAAGAGCGACCTGCCGGAGGGGGTGGAGGTGCTTCCTAAGGGGGTACCGGCAGAGATAACGCCGCTCATCGTTTATGAATCGCTGGTGGTCGCGAAGCTGCAGAAGCGTGGCAGATCGGCTTTCCTGCAAGGCGCTGGCTTTCATCGTGTTGTGGACCCGGTCTCGGGGCTGGACACGGATAAGATCCGTGGATTGGTGGTCCCGCACCCTGGCGATAAGTACCGCTCGCGTCACGTGGTGGAGGACCCGCTGAGCGACAAGACTTATCTTGTGCACTTTCCATCGCTGTCCTGCTGCTTCTGCCAGGGACAGCATATGGATAAGTTGCATGATGAGTATGTACATGAGCGCCGTAACAACATCGCCAAGTGGAACTTGTCGTTAGGCAGGGTTCATGCTATGAACGGTAATGGGGGGGGGATCGTACCGTGGGATTCTTGCCGTTGCATGGTTTTTGTGTTCGTGTTCACTGACGACGCTGTGATGGGTATCCCCTACAGCGGCCTCCCTCCAGTCGGCAGGGGTGGTGAGGAAGATTCTTCGGGACCCGGCCCTGGTCCTTATCTTGACTGGATCCAACGTGGAGGAATGGCTGTGCGTTCAGGAGTGTTGTGAACGTGCGCATGGGGAGACCTTCGCGCAGGCCACCGCTCACATCAGCGCCTTTGGTCACGGTGCAGCGCTGGGTGGGGCAGGCGTTGCAACCCGTGCGAGCAAGGCAAAGTAGAGTCCGCAGACCGCGAAGAAGCTGTATGGGATTCGTGCGGAAGCGGCAAAGGCAAAGTGATACAGTTGCATGGCATTAGGAGGCATACGGTTGTAGCACGGAGTAGCGGAATAAGAGCTGGTGAAGTGTTTGTACCAGTCTGGAGTATAGTCGCAGAGCTAAGCACTTGCAACAACAACCTCACCTCCGGCCCGTGGATGCTAAGGGGCCTTTCACAAGTTCCAAATGGGTAAACACACCACCCTCACCTTCAGTGTCCTGAACGTCAATGGTCTTGGCTGTCTGCAGAAGCAGCAAGACGTTCGGGAGTGGATTAAACAGGCAGCACACATAGCCATCCTAGCTGATACACGGATCCTGGAGGATCATTGTTTCTGGAATCAACTGCAAGCGGATACAGTAGTAGCAGCGACACCTACGGCGAGGGCTGGAGGGGTAGCGATAGTCTTACTCAACGGTGACCGTGTCGTGGCGATGAGTGGTGTTGACGGTTGTGGCGGCTTACTTCCCAGCGAGTCCAACGGCGAGGGCCCCGTTCTTCCGTGATGTCCTCCGGCCGTTCCTTGCGGCAGTACCTGCTGGAAGTCATCTGATGCTGGCAGAAGATTTGAACCTGGTTGAGGACCCAACGCTGGACAAAACGTCAGGGTCGGGCTCAAGGGGAGATAATGACAGATTGATGTCAATATGCAGCAACTTCGATGTTCGCGATGCCTTCAGGGCGCTCCATCCCTGCTTACGGGAGTACACTTTTTATGCAGCGGTGGTGCAGGAGAGCACGAGGATTGACTGAATCCTCCTCTCGCAGTCGCTGCTTCATCAGGTTCACGAGGTGCGGCACGCGGGGCTGGTAAAGTGGTTCACGGACCACTGGTCCGCAGTTCACCTGAAGCTCAGTGTGGGGGGAGATGGGGAGTCATGCCCGGGCCTCTGGAGGCTTCCAGCGTCGCAAGTGCTGCGCCTTGGGGTGCGGAAGCGGGTGGAGCTGATTGTACGGAAAAACGGAGAGAGAGGGGGTGACCTGGAGTCACTGACAGCCTCTTTAAAGGTGGGTCTCAAAGCCTACACGGTGGAGGAGCGGAAACGGGTGGCGGCCACAACGGCGCATCTCGAGCGAGAAGTAGGGGATCTGAGGCAACGAGTGATGAGCAAGCCTTGGTGCTCACGGGCGAAGGCGAGGCTCGCAAAGTGTGAAGCCAGACTTAAGGTGTATGTGGACGGGAGACGCCAGAAGTTGCAGGAACAGGCGGGAATCACAGCGGAGATGAATGGGGAGGCTCCCACTGGTTTCCTGTCAGCGAAGGTTAAAGTGCGGAAAGAGAGAACACGCCTGGTGGAGTTGAACTATCAGGGGACCCAGCATGAAGGGGCGAAGGAGGCACTTAAGGCAACGTCAAGCTTCTATGCGGGATTATTTGCGGCAAAAGGGGGTTCGGCGTGTCAAAATATGTTATTCATATTTTATATAATTGCTTGTAGTGTTGGTGTAGTTGTCTCATGTTTGGTGGTGGTGCACCTCCTTGCCTTGCGTGTTCTTGTTTCCTATATCTTGTACCCTTGTTCCTTAGTGAAACCCTTCATTCCTGTTTCCTGATTCTTACATGGTATTCAGAGCAGGCTCGTTCCTAGAGCCTTTCTCATTGGGCCCACCGTTAGCTTCCGCTAATGCGCCTCTTTGCTGCCCGTCGCGCGCCCCGAGCACGCGTCGCTTTCCTGCCCATCGCGCGCCCCGGGCGCGCGTCGGTTTCCTGCCCGTCGCGCGCCCCGAGCGTGCGGCGGTTTTTGCGCGTCGTGCGCCCCGAGCGCGCGGCGGTTTCTGCTCGTCGCGCGCCCCGGGCGCGCATCGGTTTCTGCCAGCCGCGCGCCCTGCTGCCCTGCGCGCCCCGCGCGCCCTGCAGGGTGCGTGGCGACTGCGGTGCGCACGGCTGCTCCCCCACTGCACGCGCATCTGCAGCCGCGGAGCAGCCCCTACCCCCCCCCCCCCCCCCCCCCCTTTCTCCTCCCTCTCCCTGCTGCGCGTGCAGCAGTGGGGGGGAGGGTTTGGGGGTGGCGGGTGTGAGTAACCAGCTGGCGCCCCTCCTCTCTCTCTCACTACCGCACATGTCGCTGTGGGTGGGGGAGGTTGTGGGGGAGACGAGGGAGTGGCGGTAGGGATGCTGCGCCTGCTGGTGTGAGGGAGGGTTTTGGGAAAACGGGGGGAGGTTGAAGGGGGGTGGCCGCAGTGAAGCCAGCAGCTCCAGTCGCCCGTGAGCCCGTTGCTCCAGTTGCTACAGCCGCTCGTCTAGCCGCAGAGCCAGTTACTCCAGTTTCCCGTGTGCCAGTTGCTCCAATTGCCCGTGTGCCAGCAGCTTCAGCCGCCGCCCACCACCTCCTCTCCTCTCATGGTCCCTCCTCCTCCTCACTTGCCCTCTGCTTCTTCCGCTGCACTCTGCATGGTGTACCCCTTCAGGGGGCGTTGCTACACTTATACCTGCAAACAATTATGGGGGCGTGTCAAAACATGTTATTCATATTTTATATAATTGCTTGTAGTGTTGGTGTAGTTGTCTCATGTTTGGTGATGGTGCACCTCCTTGCCTTGCGTGTTCTTGTTTCCTATATCTTGTACCCTTGTTTCTTAATGAAACCCTTCATTCTTGTTTCCTGATTCTGACACGGCGGACTCACAGCTGGACTGGGAAGTGGACAGGCGCCTTCCCCCGGAGGACGCAGCAGGGCTGTGTGAGCCTTGGGAGGAAGCGGAGGTCAAGCGTGCACTGGCGGAAATGGCGATGGGCAAGACGCCCGGGCGGGACGGCCTCCCGAAAGAGCTCTGGGAGTCGCAATGGGACCTGCTGGGAGGGCAAGTGATGCAGTTCGTGAAGGAGTTTGAGCGGACGGGGTCGTTGTCAAAGGAATTCTCAACTGCGGTGACGGTGCTGCTGCACAAAAACGGCGCCAAGGATGACTTGCAGAATTACCGCCCGATTACGCTGCTCAGCACGGCGTACAAGGTTATTGCGAATATATTGGCGAACAGAATAAAGCATAAGCTGGAGAAAGGGGTGTCGGCTGGCCAGTTCGGTTTCTTACCGGGCAGAAGTCTTGCTGGTGCGATGGCGATTGCGGCGGACGCGATCGACGCCGCCAACTTTGGGCAGGAGGACTGGTTCATGCTCCTAGTGGACTTCAGAAAAGCCTTCGACTCCGTGACACGAGGCTACCTGTTTGACGTGCTGCGGAAGATGGGTTTCCCGGAGACACGCATCAGGAAGTAGGTGGAGGGATTGCACCAGGAAGCGGCGACACGCATCTGCAACGATGGCTGGCTTGGGGAGGAGGTGCCGGTGCAGACTGGGGTGAGACAAGGCTGCCCCCTCGCGCCGTACCTCTTCCTCTGCGCGGTGGAGCCCTTCTGTCAAGAGGCACAAAGGAGATGGCTGGGTATTGACGTCAAGGGAGCTGGAAGGCTCACTTACCTGGGGTATGCGGACGATACTACCCTCCTTTTGAAGGACCGGTCGCAGCTGGGGGATGCCGAACTGCTGCTCAAGGACTTTGAGCGGAGATCTGGGCTGGCGGTGAACTGGGACAAGTCGGTGGTGCTGCCGCTGGGGAGACAGCGTGATCTGCCGCCACCGGCTGCGGGATCTTTCAAATAGGCGTTACGGGATGAACCAGAGCGCCTGCTGGGGGTTTGGATAACTCCGGGGGGGGGGAGGCAAAGCCGTCATGGAGAAGAGCATTAACCAGAATGGAAGCGGAGCTAAAGAAATGGGAGGCGAAGTATCTCACCACAACGGCGCGGGTGACAGTGGTCAACTCGTATGTTATGCCCATAGCGTTGTTCCAAGCGCAGGTGTACCCTCCCCCGGAAACGATATGGGAAGAACTGAGGAGGTTGTGCCACGCCTTCGTCTCCGGAGGAAGGGCGGGTGCGGAGCCGGGCTTCATTCTCTGGAGTGGGGAGCTCATGCAGCTGAAGAGAGAAGAGGGCGGGCTGGGGGTGATAAACCTCAAGGACCGGTTAGATGCAGAAGCGCTTCACTCGCTGGCGCTGCTGCTCACGGAAGAGGTGCCGCAGCGGCGACTGCTGGCAGAGCAAGCGGCGCGCTTCCCCCTTGGCTACGCGTCCCTTTTCGCACATGAATCCCTGCTGAAAGCATGGGGCACGGGGAGTGAACGTTGGAAGGCGATTGCGGCTGCAGTGATGGCTTCGCCGGTCGTCAGGAACCTGCCAATCAGGAGCAGATGGGATATAGAGAAGGAGAGGGTGCTTTTTAATAGGCGCAACTTGCGCGATGGCAGCTGTCCCTTTGGAAGGGGGAAGGGCTCAGAGAGCCTTCACGAAATCACCGTGGGAGATCTGCTAATGAAGTGGGCGGATGGCACCCAAAGCTGGAAGTCACCGGAGCGTCTGGCACGTGACTTGGGCAGCAAACAGGCGGCGGAATTGGCTGCGGAGGTCATTGAGGCGATCCAGGGCGACTGGAAGGAGCGGGTTCTTAAGCCACTAACAGCGGAGGAGATGCTCGAGGCAACCAGGGTCGTGCGGAAGACGGTGAGGGGCGTGCAGATGTGGTGGATCCATAAAGCGGGCGGTCATTTGCTTCACTGCGCGAGGATGCAACAACAGGGAGACGGGAGGTCGTGGTATGTGCCAGGAGGGGCAAGATGCAAAGCATTGTCCGTATCAGACGTCACGCCAATGGCGATGATAGGCGACGAAGTGGCCGGGGAGATGGGCGACTCGCGTGTCAGGCTCCTGGGGTCGGAGCTTTGCGTGGGGAAGATAGTTGCCTCGCTGAAGCAGCTGAGAGTGGAGTTGGAGGCGGGGCACGAATAGCCGGACAAACTCCCTCGCCGTGCGGAGTGGGAGAAACTGTGGGGGAAGAAGGTTGACTGGAAGCGGACGATTGCGCGTAGAGATTCCCATGCGGTACCTGCAAAGGCGCGGGATGTCTTGTTGCGCGCTCACTGCTTCAATCTTCAAGTGGGGGACCGCATGAAGTTCTTGGGGG